ACGGGGGGGGGGGGGGGGGGAGGGGAGGGCAGTTTGTCTTCTGAATGGGAGGATACTCAACTTCAAGCAATATATATATATGTGTGTGTGTGTGTGTGTGTTTGAGACTGTTACAAAATGGTGGTTACCAAAATGCAGACCAAGTGCCCTATTTATTTTTTTGCTCAATTGCACCCAGCACCGATTGGTTTCTGTTACTTTGAGCTTTATTTTCACATTCATTTCAAAATTTTGATTTGATATGGTAGTTCAAGAGTTTGCAACATATTGAATGCCTCAAAGAAATTTAACTGAGTTCAAAGTGGCACACAGCGGAGGCATGGCTCTACTTCATGCAAAGTATGATTCACATTGTTGGAATTGGTGGGGAACTGTTGGTAAGATCGGAGAGAAATGATAAATGTTAATGAGATATATATATATATTTCAAAGTTGTTAGTTTGATGACTGTGCTGTTGTCAGTTAGGCATCCAACTGGCCTAAGCTACAAGTGCCATATGTCAAGACTCAAGTGCCAAACTAAAATTGATCTGAAGGTAGAGATGACGGAGAAGGCACTTGGACAAGTGGTGAAATTCCCATGAAATCTCTACTTGGAACTGCAGGAGTATATGGATGGCCTTAGGTCCTTCTCCACAAGATAATTGGATCTCTCATTCAATTACTCTAGCTTTCTAAAAGGAATCGAGGAAAGGGAAAGTAAATGGTTACAACAAATTCCCTTTTGCAGCACCCATGTCGATCAATGGAGTAACATTGTGACCAACAGCAGGATGGGGAAAGAATGAGAATGTAGTTTCTGAACATGTCAGGCCCAAAAATAGTCTTTCTACAGCTCCTTTTTTTTAAACAGTTCTTTGTTCTGGGAATGTGACAATGTCTTTGGAGGTTTACAGAAGACTAAACTAGGTACAAGGGATTATCATATTTTATCTTTGTGGATTTAGTGTATGGCGGCGTTAATTGAAATGTGTTCATCAAAGGATATGGACAATTGGGTATTTGAGGAATGGAATTGATCCTAATGCATAACTAGGTTTCTATGAATTCCAAGACTTTAGTTTGGAAATGCACGAAGTTTAACTGGTATAGGTGGATACACTATATTGGAACATTGAAGAATGCTGAAGTTTGGATTGCATTGTTGTCAAGATGCCTTCTTGCGCTTTAGTTTAGTCCTCTTTTTGACTATAAAGTTATATAAACTTGAAGGAAACTTGCTTGGCGTAAATGTCCACCACACATATAACTTTATTAGAGCGCATTTATTCATAAATAATGCATGATGCCATCAAAAATAATGTTACAAGAATCTGCTTACAAATCGAGGATCTCTCGTCCAATTTATGTGTTGGTATCTTAAAAATATTACAAGAAGCTTCTTATCGCGAGAGGAATGGAGACAGTTGGTTCTTTTCTTCTGAAAATTGTGGCCTATGCTTCCATTGGTGACTGAATGCATCAGCCCAAATACACAGACTGCCCCTGGTGCCTATCTGCGTGAAGATCTTTTTGGCTTGTGAATTGAGATTATCTTGCATTCTTGTGCTTTACCTATTGTAGTCTGGAGTACGGACTAATAGCTGAGTGAATGATTCTGATTATAATAGTTATTTCACTTTTGTTATTTTCATCACTATTTCATTTGTTCATGTAGGTTCCGACATATGCTTTAGAAGGCTAAATTCTGTTGATATTGGCCAATATATGAGATTTTCAACCCCAGGTGAATGATGGTTTATCTTTTATCCTCACGGTATTTCTTTTGAGAATGATGTTACTACGTACCATCTTCCTTCACATGTTTTGTTTGGTGCATCTGTGAGTGTTGTTTTGTACGATGTACAATGTACATTTGTTAGTGAAGTACCTTATTAGTGTGAGATGAGTGATTTTGTGCTGTAAGGCCCCTTTTGGTATACCCAAGGTGGAGCAGTAGCCAGCTTGGCTTGTTAGCGTCATGAGAGGAAGAACAAGGTGCGAATTGGGACTATGTAAGGGAGTGATAAAGGAATCAAGTCCCAAAACTTGTGGTAGATGATGATCTGTAGCTGGTATAGTTTAGCTTCCCCATTCCTCACTATGTCAAATATTCAATTTTGGCAGGTTTATCAAATTGGTCAGGGTTAGGGTTCCTCCTGTGGATTTAAGGATTTTACATTTTTTCTTTGAGACTCGGATCTAGGGTGCTNTGAGGAGTGATGGGGCACATTTTTTGTTTTTGTTTTTGTAGGGAGCCTCTTTATTTTACTGTTTCTCTGTTTTGGAATCTCTTGATCTTCTCATGTGTATTTCTTTTCTCCCTCTGATGAAATTCTCATTTCTTGTCAAAAAAGGAAACAAATGAATCAATAAATTGTTGTACTATTTCTTTTGTCATTTGGGGCTTTAATTATATTCATTTTCATCAATATTATGGATATGTTCTTATTTTTTATGTCGACTTGCTAATTTGTTTCATGTTTATTCCACTCTACTCTTTCTCTGTTTCCTAGTCTTAACTCTCAATTCTTTTGGAAATAGTTGTAACCCAGTACCACTACCAATCTCTTACTCCCCCTTTTTGCATCTGGGTGGCCCCCACCCTCTAAGAAATGCCAATAGATGTTATTATAGCGAACAGAGAAAACGGGAGGGTCGGGAGACAAATAATGAGATCCTTCAATTTGTGTGTAGAAAAGTGTGATGCTTCCAATGATATTTACTCATGATCCTATTCAATTAATGAAAGGACATGTTTATCAAGTTCTGGGTTTGGTATTGTTTTAATAGGTTTTGGTTGAGAACCATAATCTTTTGCTGTAAGGGAATCAATTGTAGTTTCTAAATTCTTTGGGGTGAGATTGAAAGTATTGAGGGTTTCCAGTTTCAAGTTCCAAATTGAATTTGGTATGATGTGGGTGTACCTGTCCCACTTTTTCACATGGCGTCCTGCTCTATATTAATTGGCATATAGACTTAGAGAGGTCTGTGAGGTGGTGGAATCGTGTAAGAAGAGATATCATTTAAAAAGAGGGAAGATTCCTTTATGAGAAGCAAATTGTGTTTGTTTAGGCAAGCTAATATTTGCATTGCTAGTCTTCTGTTAGGATAGAGGGTGTATATGTTTAGAATCTCTTTGCTTGTGCATACATGAACAGGCAAATATAATATCATGCCATGAATCCGTAGGGTGTGGTATGCGATGGATTGCGAAATCTGATATAAAATGAACAGGAGCTTTTTTTTATTCCTGTGGCTTTAATTTCGTTGAACTATTCAATTCTGGAGACTCTATAATAAGAGATCCATATTTTTAAGAGATGTAATAGGTGTTTTAAATTGAACGAGTCTTAGTGATCTTACTTAACATTGATTGAAGTTTTACTTACATTATTGTGATTGCAGTTCTCTCCTACATCTGAGCATTTGTTACTTGCCTATGGTCGTCGTCATAGTTCACTTCTCAAGAGTGTTGTGATTGATGGAGAAACAACAGTACCCATTTACACCATTCTGGAGGTAAAGTTCATGTATTATACTTGAACATCTATAATTTTTGCGCCACGTATATCTCTTTCTATTTTAGAAATGGAGTGGAGGTGCTTTTAGTTGTTCTGTTTCCTCTGCCATAAGCGTCTGTCAGTGGATATGAGCATTGGCTTTACTTCGTATGCGATATTGCTTTTTTGTATTTGACTTGCTACATAATCAGCATTCTCTCCAACTATGCAGAATATAAAAATCATTAATATCTTACATCATCAATATCATGTTGTCAGTTATATATTCTTTGTAGTAGTAGAACAAGGAATATATAAAAGTGTGTTCTACTGCACACTTAATCTCAGATTGTGCCTTCCCTGGCCAAAGTACCTACAACTGGTATTAGTTCCTTGTTGGGTAACAATGTGCATTGACAGCCAAGCAATTGTTGCTTGGTTTGACTTTAACCAACTAAATGCTTTGAGATTTTTGATGTCCTTTGTGAGGAAGTTGTGTATGCAAGGTTGAACATGTTTAGGTTGCTTATATCCTTGTTTGTTGAACTTGCAAAGCTCCATTCTGAGACTATTCAGAAGTTGCGGGCTTTAGATCGCCAGCTGCTAGCTTGGACAGCGACTTTTGTCACCCTTAAAAGGGGGACATGCTTTGAGTCATGGGTGCATGCATATCACATATTAAAAGAAAACAAAAGAATTATTTATTGTGTTTCACATTTGGCATCTCAAGATTATTATGAGGCAGGTCAGTGGTAAAACAGTTAGTATGGGTTTGCCCCCTTTGGGAGCTTGAACTGTGTCTTAACCCTGCATCCCTGCTTGCTGCTTCCAAAAACCAAAGGAAAAATGGAACTTCTTAAGGCAAAAGACATAAACATAATAAGCGAGCATGCTAAATTTGAAGTCTGTTGAGGATAAAGAGAAGAATACTACTAGTTACTAGTAGAATTCATATATTGATAATGTCATCTCGTGAGGCATGCAGGGCATTTCATAATTCTTCACTGTTAAGAATTGCCGGTAACAACGGTCATGTGCGATTTGTTATGAAATGCTAGGTAGGTACTATTTTTTTGCTCATTCTCATTTGAGAAGATAGTAGTATATGAATTGACTGTGAGGTTTGAAAACTGATGTTTACGACATCTATGAGGAATTGCTATTTCTGGCTTATTTCATGGCAGAAAGGAGAATTTGCAGAAAGTGACACTAAAAGTGAGGAAAACGTCTTTGATTCAAGGATAAAAAAGGATGATATTTATGTTAGAAATTGAGTCATAATTACCTCAGAGTGGATTCTTGTGCACATTATCGTTGAAATAGAAATAATGGCATATGCATATGGTATCTCTTCCCTAGTCCCTCAAACTTTTCCTTCTCTCCATGGATCATTTTTAGGTTCTTTATTACTCACATCGAGTGTTATATACATGGTTGACTTGTGTAATTCAGTCTAGTGTACAAGCAGTACTGGCGAATTTATTTGTAATGTTATATAAAAATGCTAAGGGCACCCTATTTTCACTCCACATAAATTACTCCAGCTCCGTCCTATGTACTTGTGCTAACCATTTGGTTGCATAAAATGAAGTGAATGTATTAGAAGTATAGCTGTAAGTAAGACTATCCTAAACTGAAAATCATACTAAAATATGTACTAATATTCAATGGTATTGGTAGTTTCGCCATTCATAGTCTGTTTTTATTAATCAGGTCTATAGAGTTTCTGATATGGAACTTGTGAGAGTTCTTCCTAGTGCAGACGATGAGGTCAATGTAGCTTGTTTTCATCCCTCAGTTGGTGGTGGCCTTGTCTATGGAACTAAGGTGAACAGCAGAAATTTGTTATGAATTTTTATGTCTTTGCTTCTGGAAATAATTTTTCTGACATTTTTCTCTAAACATGCAGGAAGGGAAGCTGAGAATCCTACAATATGACGTTTCCCATGGGTCAAATCTTATGGCATCCTGTTCTCCCAATGAAAACATGCTTGAGGTATTACAAATGCCAAATTTACGGTTTGATTTACCACCTTTCCTTTAATTAAGTTGTGCACTGTTATATATTTTGGTGGATGACCCAATTCCAAGTTTTCCCTCATAAGTTGGGTGTGATGCCATGAACACATTACTGTGTAGCATTCTAACTACATTCAATCAATCAAAACTCAGATTTATAGAATAGGCTTTGCTTTGGCCTTCGAAGACTGTGGGAGCTTAGGTTGCTATATGAGATCCTGTATTCAAAAGAAATAGATCGACAGATTTGGTAGAAGATATCAAACCTAAAGTTGTGAATCATACACTATGAATTCCAGGCTTGAAATACAAAAACATATGATTTGGATACAATGGGGGGGGGGGGGGGGGGGGGGGG